GAAAAAAGCAAATGAGTAAATTCAATGAGGCTATCCTTTACAGATCCATTGTCTGTCTGAAGCCAGTAATAGTGTTTATAAATAGTAGCTCAAACAAATGGAAGTGTGACAATAAAGTAATTCCATCAGTAAAATTAAAATACCTAGGAATATAGTTTGCTTAAGAGACATAAGATTTAAGATCTCTGCATGACATTCTGAAGCTTTGCCAAGAAATCAAAAGAAATCAAAGGGAGAAGAATTAAGTTTTACTTAGCATTGTGAGGTCACATAACATATGCTCTTCCGGGGACTGAAGAGCATAGATAACAGAGAAATAAGATCAGTTAGGGTTTAGATGGCATTTGCCCCTGAAGAAGGGAATGAGCGGTGTGGTAGCTTGCTTTTACCCACACAGAGAATGCTGGGTAGCTGAAGCTCCAGTGCAGAACCCACTGCACGTGGCCTGATGCACCCCAATCCGACAGGGACACAGCGCTGGAAACAGACCGAGATCCCAGCAAGGAATGAAATGAGCTAGCTGGGGTTTCCACGCAGTGTTTAATGGTGTTGAGGACCACTGGCTGACCATGAGTGGGGCAGGCAGCCTGCTGAACATTACAGAAATAGATTGTTTGTTTATTTGGGTTTTAGAGACAGTGTTTCTCTGTGTGGCCCTAGCTGTCCTGGGACTGGCTTTGTAGACCAGTCTGACCTCAAACTCGGAGCTCTGGCTGCCTCTGCCTTCCTAGTACTGGATTAAAGGCGTGTGCCCCCTTGAGCAGCTGAAGTAGAGTATCTAAAAGAAATGGGAGAAAGTGATTGGACTTGCTCGAAGGGTGTGCGTGCTATTTGATTCCAGCCGCTCGCTCGAAGCCGAAATGAGAGGTGGGAGAAGAGAAGGGCACCGGCCCTAGACAAGTCCCCAGCGCCTCCCGAGGCCTTGCTCACAATCCCAGGTTACTCAGCTTCAAGAGAACCTGCCCTCCTTCCTCTTGAGATGGCCACCAAGATACAACTCAGATGTTGAAACTGCCAGATGATAAATGGACAGATTAATCATGTTTCTTAGTTGAGGCACTCAGTAATATTACGTTAATGGGCTTCAATATTTACAGTGTACCATAGACATAAAAAGAAGTAAGTGGTGTCCAATAGATGGAGACTATCTGAGGGCTGGGAAATGGTTTCGTGGGTTAAAGTGTTTGCCACCAGGCCTGAGAGGCAACAACCTGAGCTCAGTGCCCAGGGCTGACTCATGGGGTGAGGGAGAGAATGACTTCCACAGAATGGCCTCTGACCCTCCACATGGACATCGGTGGACATGCATGTGTGTGCATGTGCATCATAAATGCATAAAGTAAAATGTAAGAAATACTAAAACCTGTTGGAGGGTTTGCATAAAGATATTGGGGCAGAGCAGTCCTGTAGGGGAAGGAGAGTCTTTGAAAAGTGAGCCCTGAACAGTAGAGCTCAGCCTTGTTACACTGTCTCAGAAAATTCTAGGTTAAAACCATAAACCATGTTTTAAGAAAACATAGGGAGCCCGTACATTTTATATTTGAGGCTTGGAAGTGAGTAGACTCTCTCTTTAAAAGACACTGATCTCAAGAGAAAGTTGGGCTCAGCTGTGTTGGTGTTAAAGCAGCTCACCAGAAGGGTGCTTCAAAAAGAATAGGCCAGAGTGGGAGAGAAACAATTATGAAATGTATTTTTGAAAGAAGATTAAATGCAGAGTTGATACAGGATTCTATAATTCAGTAGTGAAATATGAGAGGCTCAGGTTTTAAATTGACAGATTTGGATATGTCACAAAAGATACAAAAGGCCAGTTGGGACAGGGAAATGCAGTATCATTATTCACTAGAAAACAACTCAAAAGGAAAGGAAATACCACAATGTACTCACCAGAATAGTTAAATAGACTGGAGTACATCCACCCAGGAAGAAGAGCTGTCCATTTTCAGTAAAGCTGAGCATGCATCTGGTTACATCTTAAGAGTTCTAGGTAGTTAACTCAATGCCAGCCAGAAACTCTGTCCACAGTGGATGCTTGTAGCAGCTTTAGGCCTAATGGTTACAGCCTGGCAGCAGGTGAGGTTTATATCAATCAGAAAACAGGGACTAAAGAAACTGGTCTGTTCAGGGGAATGGAAAGCTCAGCAAACTCATATAGAAAGAATTGTGTTCCACGTTACCATAGGTGAATCTCAAAACCACTGTGCTGCATGAGTCAGGTTGAACCCCAGAGTGGAGTGCACAGTATGTAAGTCCATTTCTGTGACACTCTGGAAGACCCCTTGTTGGCAAATATACTTTTCAGGTGTGTGACTTTGTTTATGCTGTGTTTGTTTAACTCTGTGAAGCTGTGTTACTGTGCCTGTCTAAAACACCAGATGGTCAAAGCTGTGATTTGAGAAAATTGACCTAATTGAAGTTCTTCAACTTTGCTGGAGTGGCGTCTGCTCCTCGTTACTGTGTTCTTATGTCTGTCTGCTTTTTAGCCGAGGAGGCTTTGTGATACAGTCTCTCCTGTGACTGATACAGCCTTCTTTGTGACTCCTATTTATTGTGTGTTATGCTTGGAGAACCTTGTCTGTATCATAAAGTCTATAAATTAGGGCTGTGTATCTTTTGTGTGCTTTTGTATTTAGTTATGCTAAAGCTGTTTCTTTAATAATTACACACACTCTAGTTGCCTTGCACGTGTTGTTACAAAGTGGATCTGTTTTAGAGTGTTTTCGTGGCTGGGTGTGGTGATGTATAACCACAACCCCCCTTCAGCCTCCCAAGGGCGGGGTTGTATGTTTCAAGCCAGCCTGAGCTTACATATAAAACAAACAAACCAACACACAAGCAAACATTTTACTAGCTAGAATTAATGTTTTTAAATAAACTTTCCAGTTTGAGGGAGTAGAGCCGGTGAGAGCCGTGAGCTGTGGGGTGGCGTGATGGTAGTCAGAGGCTGAAGCAGACTAAGATCTGCATCGATGCACAGCTGGCCTTCATGATCTTCCATGACTCTTTAGCCCTTGTCCTATTTCAGGCCCAGTGGAGTACAGCCAAAGTGCTTTGCGCCCTAGGTTCTGGTTCTTGTTCTCAGAGGAACCTGAGTGAGAAGTTCTTTAATGCTATGACAGAATAGCCTCCAGTTACTCTGTTACTGTCCCTGTATTGTTTTCAAAGAAAGCATCAACTGTATACTATTCATTTCAGTTGAGAGTCACAAGAGGAAGGTCTAAATTATTCTTTAACTTCTTGGCTTTTTCTTTTCTTGTTTTTTGGTAGTGTGGTGATGTTTGTACTGTTAAAAAGTGAGACTATCGGGCTGGAGAGATGGCTCAGAGGTTAAGAGCACTAGCTGCTCTTCCAGAGGTCATGAGTTCAATTCCTAGCAACCACATGGTGGCTCACAACCATGTATAATGAGATCTGCATGCTTGCAGAAGAACACTACATGTAATAAATAAGTCCTTTTTTTTTCTTTTTAAGTGAGACTATCTGAAATCCCAGGGCAGGTCAGGAACATGTCTAAGTATGCTCTTCTCTGTTCCTCTGTTCCAGTCTTTTTCTCCCCACTTTTCCACCAGCGGTTCAATTCCAGTTAGTGTGTACTCAAAAGTCAGGGTGTCCTGCAGCCGAGTAGCTGTTCCCTGGGTCAGTCTAGACCAGTGCTTCCCAACCTGTGGGTCATGACCCCTGGGGAGGGGGTGGAAAGACCCTTTCTTAGGGGTCACCTCAGACCATCAGAAAACAAAGATATTTACATAATACGGTTCATAACAGTGGCAAAATCGCAGTCGTGGAGTAGCAACAAAAATAATTTTGTGGTGGGGGATCTCTGCATCGTGAAGAAGTCTATTGAGGGTTGCAGCATTAGGGAGGTTGAGAGCCGCCCCTCAGACTGTCCCTAGCCACGGGGAGCCGGTGTCCGTCCCCTGTTGCCCTTGTTGATTTCACTAACGGTGAGCACATGTGAAACTAATCAGTCCTTTATGTTTAAAGGTTATTAGAAATGCCTCTTTTTTCTCAAATTTTGCTGACTTTGGTGATATGTGTGAAGTGGAATTGTGTCTCAAAAATGATATTTGACTGATTTAAAAAGTAATGGCTTCATAGCTGAGAGACAAGGCCATCAAAAAACTCCATTCTGAAAGTTCCCTTTAAATTCTCCCGTGTGCCCATAGGCCAGTGGTTAGGTGAGGTAGACTTTGTGCTTCAGGGAAAATAGGGTGAGTTGTCTTTGATGTTCCTATGTTCTGGAAAGATGTGAAAAGAAAGTTTAAGATGTGTTATATTAGAATGACTTTAGTTTATCTACTGTGCTGTGCTCTCTGTAGATGACGGCAGGAAAGCAATTAGAGCTCTCAGTGACAATGAATCTCTTTAAGTAATACAAACAGATAACCCGGAAGTCTTCACTGTGGGCATGTCTGGTTTGTTTATTTTACGTATTCAGTTTTGAAACGGGTCTCATAGGCCAAGCTGGCCTTGAATTTACTGGGTAGCCTAGGCAAACATTGAACTCCTGTTCCTCTTACTGGTATCCTCCAAATGCTGGGATACTGGTGTATTACCACACTCAGATGATACTTACTTACTTTCAGTGGGACGTTTTTCTGTATTAAAAGTACCAGTTGATAGCTGTTTGTAACTGAAGTTGCTGCTTTTTAAACTTGAGTAATGAAAGAAGCCTTGTTACTTGGGTTGATAGCGTAGGATCTCTTTGAGTAGAGGAAATTCGAAAGGACATTGTAGGTATGATATCATTAGGTTAGCAAGCATTGATGTTCACATATAAAAACATAAATCATAACTTATCTGGAGTCACATGTTCCATTTTATTGGCTTCCTTCATGTAGAAAATATAGTGGCCAGCAGTGACCTGTGGTGGGTGAGGCCATGTATATTTTCTGGGTGAAGGAAGTATTCTGTACATTCTCCATGCTTTGCATCATGGTACTTTGAATAACCATGCTTCCATGTTCACATCAACTTTTTGTTTTTCAATTTATGCACAGCACTTGCTCTGAAATTTGGGGACTGAGTACAGCAAATACGGTAGATCAGTGGGATACAACAGGCCTTTACAGCTTCTCTGAACAAACCAGGTGAATATGCTGCCCCTGTGGAACCCTAGAGACCTGTGGGAGGGTGTGCTTTGGAAGACCTCAATGGGCTTGCTTAGTGTAACTTGCCTAGGATGTTAACTTACTGTAAATAAGGCAGAGCATGTAAAATATCTGCTTGCCAGCATTAAAAGTATATTAAATGTTTCAGCTGATGTTTTGATCAATGCAATTTTAGTTTTGACTCTTCAGGTTATTGTGTCCCATAAAAAATAAGACCTTTTTATATCTATATATTCATTGTAGTCCAAGATTAGACTAGACAAATTTGTTACTGGCCTAATTTTTAAGTAAATACATGACTAGTTTTTCCTAAATTTCTTGTTGATCTCATCTTTATACTAGTATTTGACGAACCGCTCACATCACAATTAACCGTAGGCTAACCTATTTTTCTGTCATCTTTTTTTTAAAAATCACTTCATTCTCTTTTAAGCACATTAGTATTTGTCCATTCCATCTCACATTCATCACCATCTGCATTTCTGTGTGAGCTTCATAAATAAGCCTGAGACCAAAATCACACTTGAATAACAAGTTACATTAGTCCAAGTAAGTTACTGTCACATCATTGTTGATATTTATAACCATTTTCATACTACTTCCTTTTTTTGACAACCAGTTGCTTCAGAATTAATGCCTTTGAAAGTTTAGCTTATTAAGAATAGACCTTGATGAAGTTTCCAAGTGTAACCCATGGCACTTTGTGGACCGCTTGCCCGTGAGGCTGGCCTCCCACTGGCATGTGAGTTGCTGTAGGCACACTGATAGGAAGGAGTTAGGTGCTGGTGCAGCTGCTTCCCCAGCAGGGCCAGCCAGAGTGCACTGTTCTTCCTGGGTATTGCCAAAGCTAACGTAATGGCCGTGGTTGCCTTCATTGTGCTCCTAGTGTATTAATTACCCCTTTTCATGACACCTAGTCTCTCCTTGTAAAAATGTCCTCCTCTTTCCCCTTGCTTCCGAATAGGTCTCTTGATGGCCGTCTTCAGGTTTCGCATCGGAAAGGATTGCCACATGTTATATATTGCCGGTTATGGCGCTGGCCAGACCTTCACAGTCATCATGAGCTCAAGGCAATTGAAAACTGCGAATATGCTTTTAATCTGAAAAAAGATGAAGTGTGTGTAAATCCTTACCACTACCAGAGAGTTGAGACACCAGGTAGGAAAACTGTAGGTGTTTGTTTTGTTTTCCTGGTTTTAAACTAAAAGGCTGACTCAGGCTAGTACTGCTTGTGCCTCAGGGAAACTTTAATGGAAAATTGTAATAACTACCTTAAGTTGAATATGTCATTTGGTAGGAGTTTTAAATGCTTTCTTATGTTTTTTAAACTTTTATGGAAAAACCGTCTTGGAGAAAGGGACATGTCCATTTCTTGGGAGCTTACTCTGTTGGACAGCCAGGTGGGTATCCAGGAAGTCCCACAGACTTGCAGTCGCCGAGAGTTGTCCATGTGTCTCTCTGGTACCTGCTTCCACACGTGCTTGCGTGACAACACTTTTAGAAAAGTAACAGAATAAAGTTTATATTAGGACTTTGAATTTAATGAGCTAAAAAAAATACCCGATGTTTTTAGAAAAAATTTTAAATCTGACTTTAGTGATGACGTTTCCTCACATATAATAGAATTTTATAAATTCTTATGGTAATATCGTATTGACAGGGTCACTTTGTTCCCCAAAGTACAAGATAAACATTAACTTGGAAACTTAAACGGTGAATTATGCAAGTCGACTCCATGACGAGATATGTCAGGTTCTTAGTGCCGTTATGCTATCAGATAGGTATGCCGAGACTTTGAGAAGTGAAGCAACTGCCTTTTGTGTTGAGCACTTTGGGGAGGCCGCCCGCCCCCCTCCCTTGCACTCTTGCAGCTAATGCAGATCTCTCGCCCACCCCTGCAGTTTTACCTCCAGTATTAGTGCCTCGGCACACAGAGATCCTCACAGAACTGCCGCCTCTGGATGACTATGCCCACTCCATTCCGGAAAACACTAATTTCCCAGCAGGGATCGAGCCGCAGAGTAATTACATCCCAGGTATTTTTGCCTTGAAAATCTCTTAAAAGTTAGGTAAACAGCAATCTTGTAACAAATGGCATGTGTTAGCGATGCCATTTCAAATTTCAGAATGTTCTTGACTCTGGACGGAAGAGTCTGATTTGGTGGGTGATGATTTTGTGCAGTGCCTACATCCAACTCATTAAACAGTTTATTTGGATAGAAGGTTTACTTTTTATTTTATTTTATTTTGCAGTGGCTTTAAACAAAGTATTCTGAGAAGTAGGAAAAAAGATCATAGTAAGGTTGTCTGGGGTAGAGAAGTGCAGAATGTAAGCAGAGTGTGCGTGTCCCTGTGCAAACATGATCACACTTCTGAACGGTCATTCCCATGGGGAATTGGTGATGCTTATGGTGGTTAAACTCTTGGGACATGTAATAGTATTATAGATAACACATTGTAAAAGAGGAAATGCTTGATTATGTTTCTCCTGGGCCTTAGTTAATTCTGCTTGGGGGGGGGGGATGAATTACTTCAACTACATGGTTCTCAAATTCTACCATAAGAACAGTGGAGTGTGTGAGGTATGTGTGCACATGTGTGAAGGGAGGGGACAACTTTGTGGGTCCAGTTGTCCCCTTTCACCTTTACAGGAATGCCGGGGTCGCCAGACTCACGTGGCAGTCCCTGTACCCACTCAGCCATTTCACTGGAGCTCAGGTTCTGCTCTTGTTTTATGTGGGCCAGTGGTGTTTCACAATTCAGTACCAACTCCTACAGCTTTTTTCTGTTTCTAGCAAAAACAGCTACTTATTCTTTTGTTTGTAGAAACCAATTGGGAATTACTTGTGTTCTGAATTTTTAATGTCTCCCAGTCCCTGCCTGCCTGCCTCTCCCCCCCCTTTCAAGTTTTTTCCCTCCTAATCCAACTTTTATTTTATACAATAGAAGCATGCGGGGAATCAAAGACTTTTATTTGGTGTATTCCTGTATGAAATGATATTTTTTCATTAATTTTTAAATTATTAAGAAAAAAATGAGTTTTGCTTGTCTTAATAGCTCATGTAAGTATTGGTTTATTTCAAAAGTCTAGGTGTCCTATGCCACCCCGCCTCTAGGCTCCAGGTGCTAGTACGTAGAAACTTTTTGTGACATTAGTAAGGAAGAGATGATAAAATCATAGTACAGTGTAGTAAGGGGAAAAGAGAAGAGTCATAAAAGGAGACGTTTCCATTTTTGGGAGAATTGAGTGTCTTTTATAAACTGGCTAGGAGTGGCGTGGGAGTGTATGTGTGTGTGACATGAAGTGAAGTATTGAAATCTTTTATGTGGCAGCTGTTGTTACTTCATAATGCTAATAAATTAAAGTGTAAGTGCATCAAGGTCTTCTGAGACATGCACCAAGAAATTACTTGCAACATTATTCAAAATGCTTACTTGCCTGATACTAAAAGGTTTATTTAGATGTTAGTGTTTCATAAAGTAGCAAATTAGAAGTGAATTATACCAGTTTTTCTGGTCACAGGCTCTCTAGCTCAGTAACAGCAAAACCAAAGAATTTACTTTTGTTCCATTTCAAAATAATTTCTTCAGAGTTTTTATTTTTATTATTTTATATATAATACATGTGTCTATGCATGTGAGTGCAGGTGCCCACTGAACTCGGGTTCTCTGCAAGGACAATACCTGCTCTTAACGGCTGAACTATTGCCCCAGCCCCGCAAAAGAACTTTTAACATCACTTAAAAGCTGATAGCTTATCAGCTTATAGAGAAATAATAATGGAGGATGATAGGAAAATAGAATGAGGGGCTGGAGAGATGGCTCAGAGGTTAAGAGCACTGGCTACTCTTCCAGAGATCCTGAGTTTAATTCCCAGCAACCACATGGTAGCTCACAACCGTCTATAATGAGATCTGGTGTCCTGTTCTGGCCTGCAGGCACACATGCTGCGCACTCACACATAAAACACAAATCAATCAATCAATCAATCGATCAATCACACATGCTGCGCACTCACACATAAAACACAAATAAATAAATAAATAAATAAATAAATAAATAAATAAATGGGGGGGGGAGAAATGGAATGATATAAAATGTCTTAGAGTTGGGCTGTTTCCATCTTAGACCTTTGAGACACTGGTGCTCAGACTAGCAGAGATCAGCTTTTTAAATTTTCTTAGTTTTAATCTTTAGTGTGTAATGATATTAATTATTTATTGTTTGAATCTATAAAGATACTTTGTTTTTTAAATTTCAGTATAAACATTTTTATATCCTGACTTCTAAATGAGAATAGAGGGCAGTTTGTAAATCTTTTGAACTTTTCCCCTTAAAATCACAAATGATAAAATTGTATTCATGTTTTTATTATCTTTGAAATTTACTCAGTTATTTAGGTGCCTCCTGAATGTAAACATTTTATTCAGAAAATGTGTTGAAAATGATGTTAGAATCCCAATATTTTCAACAAGTACTTTATTTTTGTTTCTGTTTCAATTATTTAGAGTTGTTAAACAATTAGATACCCAGGAAGGGTGGTGGTGGGAGCTTTTTCAGGTAGGATTCAGGGTAGGTCAGTCCTGAGTCATGCTTCTCTAACCTGCCCGGTACAGTAGAGTGTAATATGAAATTGCAGCTGTGTGTACATCAGTCTTTGCCCAGTATCCAACCATGCATGGTTTCCACTTGTTAAAAAACCTGAGAGTACTAATGTCTTTGAATCCTGTGGACAGGCATCTTTGAAGTTAGGTTTTTGGCTGTTCCAGAATATTTACACATGAGCCAGAGGGTAAATAATGTCTTAAGAAAATATGCCAGGAAAGCTGGGTTTTGCTACAGGCCTGCTTTAGGGATTTACCTGCAAGATACAGATTAGGACCTTAATTGCAAATCCACTTTTGCTTTTTATAACGATGTGTATGTATACGCATACATATAACTGTATCCAGTTTTGCTTTTTATACATACTTTTTTGGTTTTCTCATTGCATGTATTTGATAGCTAGGAGAAAAAGCTGAAATTACATGAACTATGCTTGATTTGTTCTAAACTTTTGTAGAAACGCCACCACCTGGATATATCAGTGAAGATGGAGAAACAAGTGATCAACAGTTGAACCAAAGTATGGACACAGGTAAATAAGACCTTAGTAATCATCGAGTCCACTTTCTTTGATAGCAGAACACATCACTAGATTTAGCTAACTAGATCAAGAATTTTTGAGAATAAAATTTGATTTTGGGGCCTAGTAAGATGGCTCAGTGGTTTAAAGACGTTTGCTGCTGTGACAACTGGAGTTTGAGCCTCAGGACCCACAGAGCGCACCATTAAGGCACATGGCCACACAGTAGCCACCCATCAGTGTGAAGAGGACTGTTGCCGGCTCTTCCTCCCATCTTCCGGGTCTGAGCTGTGCAGGGACAACGCTGTCGTGAAAATGAACATCTGCCACCCTGCACGGTTGAAAGTACTCAATGCTTTTACCCCCAAGTGCTCTATACTGCTGTTAAAGTTTTAGTACCTCATGAGTAAGTAACTCTCATAAAAGACCATAGTCATCCTACTGACATTTAAGACTAAATCGAGAACAGAAGAGGGGGCCCAGGTTTTTTGTGCTTCTTTAACTTACTAGTAAACTATTTACACAAGATACCTTGTTTCTGATCTAAGTTTGAGTAATTTTTGATAATTAGCTATATCCCGAAGCTTTAAGCTATTTGTTAAATAATAGACTCTGTAGCTCAGGGGAGGCGAGGAGGGAACCCTTGAAAGTGCGTTGATGTCATTGCCTAGTTTGGTTTATCCAACCTTTCTTACCTTAAGGGTTAGTTAGTGTCCTAGTCACTATTCTGTTCCTGTGAAGAAACCCCATGACCAAAGCGATTACCTGGGGGCTTGCTTACCACTTTAGAGGGTTAGGCCGTAGGCATCATGGCAGGAATCATGGCTGCATGGAGGCACGTGCTGGGGCAGTAGCTGAGGGTGACATCCCGCTCGTAGAGTGGGGGTGGGGGTGGGGGGACCGGACTGGGAGGGGGGAGGGCGAGAGAGAGAGTGTCAGTGGGACCGATTCTTCCTCAAACCCCCACAGTTAGTAATCCAAAGTTGCTTGAAACTGTGTGGCTCAGTCTACCCTCTGACTCAGATCCTCTTGCCATAGCCTCCAAGTGTTGAATTACAGGCACTAGCCACCTTCTCTAAGATAAACAAAATCATTATAAGTGAATTGATGTGCGAGGGGGAGAGCATTCTATCAAGTCTGTTGTTTGACTCCTTCCATATGTTAAATGCCCAGGAAAGATGTGTCTGCTATAGCTAATATTTATGTCTGACTGTGAAGGTGGTAGATAGAAAGATGATACTCTAATGGACATTGGAAATAGCATGTAATGCACATGATGCTTGGCTTTTCAAATACGTATCCTTGACACTCAGTATTCTTTACTGAACTGTATCTTTGCAACCTGGTAGGTAGCCATGACCATGGCATTGAAAGTGGGTAGCGTATAATGATGAACATCGTATATCACAAGTGAAACAGTATTTCACACTTCTGGATATCTGCATTACAAACATGACTACAACAACTATTAGTGAAGTTGTGGAAAAACTGGAGCGCTCATGTATCACTGATAAGAATTACGTTGTTGTAACCATTTTAGAACAGTTGATTATTCTTCAAAAATTAAATACAAGATACTACGTAGTCCCATCATTTCACTCCTAGATCTATACTCAAGAGAATTTAAACAGGTCCACGTAAAACTTGCAAGAATGTTTGTGTTGTAAACATTACACATTTCATTTCACAAGTGGAAACAGCCCAGATGTCCTACCACATTTTGAGTGGCTGAACAACATGAGGTATGTCCCTACAGTGAAAGTGTGGCTAGAGAGAGAGAGAGAGAGAGAGAGAGAGAGAGAGAGAGAGAGAGTGAGTGAGCGCGAGCGCATGGCTCTGCTGGTACCTGTGAGAGTAATGCTAAGCCACTCAATTGTGGTACTTTGTTATAGAAGTTATAGTTGGCTAATATAAAACTAATAAGGTCCTGAGAATGTATAACTAACATTGATAACATTTAATAGTTTTTAAACTTTGTAGAACTTAATTTATTGTCCTTTTTAAATTTTTTTTTTTAAGCTTTTAGGCAGGACCACAGTCCTAGGCCCATAATCACACAGGATGGCCCGAAACCCACCGTCCTGCCTCAGCTTCAATTACAGGCATGTACTACCATGCCTAGCCACGTTGCAGTTTTTAAGCACACACAAGACTTTGAGATGACAGGATAAAGTTAACTAGAAAATAAGCTACAGGTTTTTTCTTACAAGCCAGTCCTGTACTTGGAAGCCACATGAAGGCGAGAGATGAGCAACTACAAAGTTGCCCTTTGACCTCCTTATGCACCATGGCACACGTGTCACATACACAATGTTTTCTCTGAGGTAAAATAGCAAAATTTTGTATTATGTTTACAGAATGAATACATGCATTATTCCCTACTCAGGAGGCTGTTAACTCAATATTTTATATATGTTCTTTATCTGATAGAAAAAGTTCTGTTTGTTAAATTATTGATTGTGGTGATAGAAAATTTCAGATTCTCATGCATGCTAGGCAAGCCTATTACCAACTCCATTCTCTCAGTTCACCTTCTGTATTCTGAGAGATGGAGTCTCCATAGTGATTTTTCTAATGCTAGTGTTTGCTCAGTGTGGGCTTGATGGGATGCTTTTGCGTGTGTGCGTGCATAGGTCACTGTAACTGTAGCTAGGTGGGTTTAGTCCTCTGTTTGCTTCCTGTAGACTGTGCATCTGTTTTTGCTCGTTTATGACTGTGGCTTTGTAGCACAACCATCATATTCAGCATGCAATACTGAGTCTGGCTTTTTTTGGGGGGGTATTTACTCAGGTGAATTGAAAACTTAACATCCTCCACACAAAAATGTGACCTTGGTTGCTTATAGCAGCTTGATTCATAATTTTGAAAATTTGAACACAACTAAGATGTTGACAAATTGTGGTACGCCCAGACAGTGTCATGTCACTCAACGTGAGGACGAAATGACAACGTTGGTGAAACTTTAGATCCATAAACTAAATGAAAAAATGGGTCTGTGCAGGCTACAGACTGTGCAGCCTCAACTGGCTGGCATTCTGAAAAGGCAGCCCACCTGAAAACAGGCAGGAGTTTAAGGTTCTAGAGAAAGAAGAATTGAATGGGTAAAGCTGTAGGGCAGTGAGGCTGATGTCTGTGATAGTACAAATGGAGGATGTGTATTATACATTTGTCCAGATCTACAGGTAATAAACACAAGAGTGGCCTTGTAAAGACTGTGGAGCCTTGATAACAATACATCTAAGTATGTTTCACAGTTGTAGCATATCTGCCATTGGGGGTATGGGATCGTGGGTACAGTGACAGGTATATATGAGACTTTTCTTTTTATACTTGATATTCAATTTTGCCATGACCCTAAAAATATTCTAGAAAGAAAATTGAGGCTTTTTTGTTTGTGTTTGATCAAAGATAAACTAAAGTAGATCTCCAAACTGGAAAGCTTACAAATACATGGCGTTTATAGGAACTGGTCTAAATTTAAAACTACATAGAACTCAAAAAAGGGAGAAAAGATAGTAATTAATAGAAAAAAAAGTGGGTAAAAGTAAGAATATACTTCTTTTTTTAAAAAAAAAAATGGTAAAAGAATCGTTCTTTTAAGGCTGTTATTTTGGCAGATACTACCACAGAGTGATTGTGCAAAAAAATAGGAACTTGTGTGTTCTTGGTAGGACTAAACTCTTTGGTAGCGAGCCTTGACACTTAAAATAACACACACTGCTTCCTTTCTGAGAAATTCATCCTACAAATGCACACAAACTTGTAAGCAAAGTATTACACAAGTATTTCTCTAGATGCTTTAGCTGCAGACAGACATTTCCTGTCCCATAGCCAGACTGCTCAGTGGCATTTACAACATAGATGGTGCATTGATCAGTTACTAGTTGTTTAATGTTTTCTAAAAAGATTGTCTTATTTGCTTGTTTTAAGTGTTAGAATTTATAATGACCCTTTCTTTTGTCACACTTGACACAATTAACAAATAGCCAAGTATTTCATAGTGTGTAAATGTTAAAAGGTGGGAATGGTTGGGCAGCCCCTCCAATCCAGTTGTTTGTATCTGCTTCAGGAAATACCATGCATTTCAGTTCATTGTTCCAAGCATATCTTGACCTTTCTCATTTGTACCTGTTGTGATTCGCCAACATGTTTTTCAAAATGAAGAAAATGTGTGATTGTGTAATATAATTGTTTTCTAAAAAATAGTGCTTGCCAGTTTTTCAGTCTCTGATTGTGACTGTGTCTGTGGTAACTGCCTCTCATCCGTGTCCCCTGCTAAGCGTGTGCTGTTTGTGTGGGTGAATGGTGCAGAGTGTTGCACTCTGGGCTCCCTTGTCTGTGTCCTGTGACACACATTTGCAGCAGGGAGCTGCCTGTGGAGCATGCTCCCTTTGAAGCTTTGCCTGAATGTGTAAAGGCTGCTGCTTATGGGGTTGGTGTTGTTTGTGATTGTAGTGAGAATATTTAATATTTAAAACAAATGTAGTTAAGTTCTGCTTCTATGGCTTTCGCCCCTCAGTTTATGTATTTGTGCCTTGCATTTTCTGGATTAGATTTAGAATATTTACATAGAACAGGGAAAAATTGGATATTTTTCTAAGAAAATAAAATTTAGTATAGCCAATTTCAATAAAGAACTAGAGTTGACAGAATAAAGAAATCACTCCTGTTTGTTAGAATTTTACAGAATTCTACTGAACTCTTAAATAGTATGCTGTGAAAATGCAATTAAAGTTGTTACAGAGCATAGAAAATGGCATAAATCTAAACTGCCACAAGTCTGGTCACACGTCTCATGTGTTCACTAATTCTTATTAGTCTTACTCAAGATTGATGCAGGAGTTCTGAAGAAGTGATTTATTGTTTTAGCTCCAAGCAAGCCAGGTGTCCTGCCTTGTGGGAACACCTTGCACACTATACAGACAAGTGTACACATTCTCAGAGCTGTTTTATTAGCCGTGGCATGAGTCCTAAGTGCTGCATTATCAGAATTAGAATGGAGTCACCAAACAAAACTAAATGAAAATTTCCATTTGAGACAGGGTCTTTTAGTCTGGAATGGTGGCACACATCTTGAATCCTAGCATTCAGGAGGCAAAAGCAGGAGAATTTCTGTGAGTTCAAAACCAGCCTTGTCTGCACAGTGAGTTTCATGACAGCCAGAGCTACATATTGAGACCCTGTCTCAAAATAAAAAGACAAGGTCTCTGGTAACCTACCCGTGCTAGTTTCTGCCTTGCTCTGTAGCTGAAGCTGCCTGAAATCCCTGTCTTCTGTCCCGCTTCTGCTTCCTAGCAGGTGAGATTACAGCCATGCACCACCACCCAGGCTAACACTCACTTGTGCAGACTATGCGTTCACCAGTTGTCAGCGATACCGGGGTGGTGTGCATGGGGATGTATGTGGGTAAACCTTTGTGGATGATAATTTAGCTAGGGTCTATCAAAATTGCAAAGGCACCAACCCTCTGACCTGATACTTTTTGAGTTCTTTTCACAAAAACTGGGACCATTCAGAGGTGTAAGATCAGTTGCAGTCTTGGTTCTTAAGATGAACAGTCAACTGTCATTAGTGTACCACAATGTAACTTTAGGCTGCCAGCTGATATAGGCTGATAGAGGAGCAATATAGAAAGTCAGCACAAATGGTTTCTAATGAGATAACTCATGCAGATGTTTAGAACTGCTAGTTTCTGAACATCTGAAAAGATACCCAAAGAGCTGTTAGTAGTGGGCTCCTCTGGGTGGCAAGGAGACAAGTCAGTTTATGCCACGAGGAAGAAACAAGTTATTCAGTTCTTAACCTTGTGTACCTCATTTGTTGCAGTCCCAAGTTAAACTAAAATCAGTCATATATTTTAAATCTTGGGGTGTAGTTATCTGTGTATTTATTATTGTTGAAAAAGTCAGAACCATTTTTGTTGTTAACTTGCTGGTAAGTTCTGGAGGAACGTCAATGTCCTTTTCTTCCTCTGATTTAGGCTCCCCAGCTGAGCTGTCTCCTACCACTCTCTCGCCTGTCAATCACAGCTTGGGTAAGTTGCTGTTACTTCTTGCTGTTTCACTAGGTTAAGGAAAGTCCTCTCCAGAAATTACTTTTTATGTGTATCCAAAAAAAAAAAAGGAAAGAAAAGAAAAAGGAAAACAGAAACAAAATTATTCAGATGGTTTGTATTAGTGACTTTAGGAAGAATTAATCTAATGTGTCGGTATTGCTCTCTGCTGACAGGGGTTTCTGATGTTTTGATGGGTGTTTATTCAGGATGTGTATTATAAATTGTCATGTCTATTCCTCTTGTGCTCTTCCTTATGGTACATTTCTCCCTTTACTTCAGACTTGCAGCCAGTTACTTACTCAGAACCTGCATTTTGGTGTTCAATAGCGTATTATGAACTAAACCAGAGGGTTGGAGAGACCTTTCATGCATCACAGCCCTCGCTTACTGTAGATGGCTTTACAGATCCATCAAACTCAGAGAGGTTCTGCTTAGGTTTGCTCTCCAACGTCAACCGAAATGCTACTGTAGAAATGACAAGAAGGCATATAGGTATGTTTTATTTTCTTTGTGTGGAAAAAATTTAATTTACTCATAATGTAAGCAATATGTGGTGTTAGATCAAAAGCTTATATGGAAAAGCCCAACTTCATCTCCCTCCGTGAATCCCTTTAATAGAGCCTTGGTGATTCTTAATGTGCAAACTTTTGTCTTCCGATTCTGTTTGTATTTGGTACTTTGATAGTGAAGTCTTTTGATAAATACATGTTAAAGCGATTAGCTTGCTCAGTCTTCTTTTAGTTTAAAAAAAAAAAAAAAAAGGCAGTGTTTTGTAGTGATTTGTTTTCTCGTCCCTCTCCTCTCTGTGATTTTAAGTATAATTGAGAATACAATCTGGGGCTTCAGAATATAAAGGAGATCTTGTAGCGCCAGGGAGAATCTTGGCTCTGTGAGAGGTCAGCACTGCTTTCCCAGTAATACTGAGGCGCGCTGCCTGTTGCTTCACCGCAGCAGGCGGTGGGGTCTCCGGGTCTCCTGGAGCTGCATGGGTAGGGTTGTGAGGAGATAAAATGCAGCCCTGAGAATCCAGACAGCGAAGAAACTGGTCTAACTGAAACATTCCCACTTGCTCCTGATTTAAGCTTGAAAATGGTTATTTCTCACAAGTCTTGTTTGCACTAATAGATTTGTTGTTTTAAGTTTGTAGAACACTGTATTTCAGTTTTCAATCTAATGTGTTAGGTTTCCATGATTATAATCCACATTTACCCAGATTTTCTGGGAACCTTAGTATTTCGTGTTTAACCAGTGAGGTGCAGGTGCTGAGTTTGATCGCTTCTACATCTTAAGCTTCTGCCTGTTTGGGATTAACCACTTCCTCCTGTGAGAAATGATGATGTTGATGTTGATCCTGTGAGGTGATAACGGATGGGGAATGCATTGTTAGCTTTACCTGGCGCTTCCAAATCTTGTTACATTGGTTCATCTTTCATCCAGATGGCACTGCAGATACAGGCTGTCAACAGCCCCCCTGACTTTATCTGCATAGTAAAAATAAAAATTTTCTATTTTTTGTGTTTTATTCAGACATTTGTATTTAAAGAAAATTAGTGGTTTCCTCTGCCCCTACTCATGTCAGGCAATAGTCTAAAAAGTCTACTTTTGTACTTAATTGCTATCTCCCAACTCTGAGCACCACACACACCCCTAGGGGTTTAATCCAGGACTTGTTACACGGGCACTTTGCCCTCTGGGTATACCCTCCAGTTTGAACTGCCACTTCAGTCCTGTCTGAAAACTCTTAACCTAGTATTCGATTGCACTGCAAAGTAGACACTTGCACAGCTGGGTGGATGAGGTACTTTTGAGTCTTTTCTTAATCTAGTGGGCACTTTAAGGGAAATTTGCACAGACATTAACCTTTTCAAAGGTAACCCCGTTTTACGTGACTTTTAAAGCAGCAGGTAATCTGAATGAAGCTGTCTTGCTACTGTATACTTTTTCTATATTGTTGAAATGTTTTTCATGAGTGCTACTTTGAAAAGAATCAAATTATTATTAAAAACTGGTGAAAAATGCTGTAGTGTACTGCAGAGTTACAGTTCAGGAGCTGCCTTAGCATCTGCTTAGAGTTCTTCTAGTTGATTCTCAGGAACCGTGAAGAGGAAGCGCTCTGAAACTAACCTTGTGTGTTTTGTTGTAGGAAGGGGAGTGCGCTTGTATTACATTGGTGGGGAAGTTTTTGCCGAGTGCCTAAGTGACAGTGCGATCTTTGTGCAGAGCCCCAACTGTAACCAGAGGTACGGCTGGCACCCCGCCACCGTGTGCAAGATTCCCCCAGGTATGCCCCACCCCCCACCCGCGTGAGTGACCCGCCATCAGTCTGCTTCATTAACTTTCCCAGTTGCTAACGATTTCAGGGTTAGGGGTTGATTGATGTGCATGCTCCTTTGAAAACATAGGCTCTCTTTAAAGTTCTTTTGTAATAATGACACTTTATGTTTGCCTGTTTACCAATTCTAGGCTGCAACCTGAAGATCTTCAACAACCAAGAATTTGCTGCTCTTCTGGCGCAGTCAGTTAATCAGGGTTTTGAAGCCGTTTATCAGCTAACTCGAATGTGCACCATAAGAATGAGTTTTGTGAAGGGGTGGGGAGCAGAGTACCGGTATGAACCCCGTTCTCAGTTTCTAGTTTCTTCATTGTGGCTATTCATATTCCCTTTTGCATCTTCTGTAATTGATTTATATCTCTTTTCAACATCTTTATGTAAAATAGTAAAAGAAAGGGTTAACGGTGTAGCTCAGTTGGTAGAATATTTGTGTTTCACATAAGTATCTCCCGAGTATACTAATTTAACTTCAAAAGAAAATGTTTCTGTAAGGAATTCTCCGGAGATGGCTCAGTTGGTTAAAGTGCTTGCTATCTAATCTCAGAACTCTTAGAGCCAGCCATGGCTGTGTGTGTCTGTAGCTTCAGGACGGGATGGGGTTGTAGGGTGGGGGACAGATTCTAGCTAGCACAGGGGCCTTCAGGTTCAGTGAGTGATCCTGACTCAAGGGAACAAGGTAAAAAAAAAACAATTGAGGAAGACGCTCAACCCAAACTGCCTCCCAACCCCCTTCTGGCTTCCATATGCATCTGTATACATGCACGCCCATATGACACATCACATAAATGAGTACAACCTCTGAGAAAGGACAAACCTCCTTAGATCATTTTAGCAGTAAAAACCGTTTTCAAGCTAGTAATTCTATACGCAAAGTTAATAGTTATTCTTCAGATAGATTTTATTATATACAGCCTTTTAATTTCTTCGTTGTTTTTTATGTTCTCTCAATCAAACAGGAGACAGACAGTAACAAGTACTCCTTGCTGGATTGAACTGCATCTGAATGGCCCTCTGCAGTGGTTGGACAAAGTATTAACTCAGATGGGATCCCCTTCAGTGCGATGCTCAAGCATGTCATAAAGACCATCATCATTTGAGTCTACCGAAAGACTTCATGTAACAACTCTTCTGTCATAGTATTTGTGTATGATCCCGTGGACTGTTTGCTATCCAAAAATTCCAGAGTGAAAACAGCACTTGAGGTCTCATCAGTTAAAGCACCTTGTGGAATCTGTTTCCTATATTTGAATATTAGATGGGAAAATTAGTGTCTAGAAATGCCCTCCCCAAAGTGGGAAGAGAAGACTTGTTGGGCATAAGACAGTGTCCCAAAGGTTATTAATTACAGTAGTAGTTGTGTATACAGGTAATGTATCAAGACCCAGTATTGCAGTGCTCTGCTGTCTGTATCCATTCTTAGTTGCATAACTGAGGTGTGTGCTGCTTCTTGGTCTAGGCAAGCCTTTATAAAGTTACAGTACCTAATCTGTTATTCCCACCTCGCCGTTATTTTTGTGTCTTTTTTAATATATAATATATATATATATTAAGATTTTCAAATTATCATTTAGAAGCAGATTTTCCTTGTAGAAACTAATTTTTCTGCCTTTTACCAAAAATAAACAAACTTGGGGGAAGAAAAGTGGATTAACTTGGAAATCCTTGACCTTAATGTGTCCAGTGGATCTTAGAAGTCATTCTTTGTGTGTTTATTTCCTGCTGATTTGCATTAGAAGGAAACTCTACTGGAAATTTCCGGGCTCTTCATCCCATTTCTTTTCTGATATAAAACAGTACAGCATGATGTCATTGTGGTAAATAGCTGCACTGATGGCTGCTGGGTAGTTAACCCTGGGTCCAGTGAAGGATTGTGGGGAGTAAGTCTTGTCTTAGATCTAGCTTCTACAGGTGATAACAGACTTTGTGTAACCTGTTGGTCTATTGATCAACTTTTGTCTCAAAACATGAACAGGTGGCAGTATAATTATTTTCAGGGCTATTCTGGAATCATCTTAAGTATGTATTTCCCTCTTCCAAAGCCAGTTTAGTAATAAAGAGTCTTTCTGTAAAGGCAGCTGACCTTCTGCCTTGTACGCTTAACTACCAGGTTGTATTACAGAGCGGGCCTTTGGTAGATGTACTTGCTTCTGCAGATGCGTAGAGTGACATTGGGGTACGGCCAGCAGATAGCGGCCATCTGTTTTCAAAGTGTATTGTGTGTAATTTATAGATGGGATGTTGTATTACCTAATTTCAGAAGTTTAGAGATTGGGAGTTTAGTCTGCAGTTACCTGCAGTCTGAGCAGTGTTGGCTAACCCTGGGTGTGTGGGTCACTGGCCTTTCTGCTCTGCAGGAAGGGACACCAGCTGCTCTGTTAGTCCTCTTCTGCAGCACACAACGGTCATGTCCAGTCTTGACTCCTTTCCTGTTTGCAACTCAGTACAAATGGAAAATACTTCTGATCTCCTTTTTGTAAATTTGAATATTTTTGCAGACAAATACCTTTGGTACTTACTCTTTGAAACCATACATGTATGTACAGGTGTCATTTTTGATGCTTTTCAACATTTGGTTGTTTTCTATTTGATATTTCCCATTTTCCTATATTTGTGTGCGTGTGTATGTGCTCATGTAAATTTGGTATAGTGATTTTTTTATTCAAATATTTTATTGTTCACCTGTTAATGTGCCATGAACTTTCTTAACCTTTGGGTGAAGGTGAACAAGATAGCTCTAGTTCCTGCCTTTGCTGAAATAGCAGTTGATTTAACCCGTGCTCAAGTGTCTGTAGGAGGTAAACAGGGTACTGTCTAGAGAGTGGCAGATAGGAAGCTTCTGGTAGGACACGGGGAAGGCACCTGGGGAAGTGATGCTTGAGCTAACGCCCAAGGGGCGAGCCATGTGAAGAGCCGAAGGTCAGCATGCTGGGATAGCATCAAACCCAAAGGCACCGACAGGCTCACAGACTCGCTACTAGGCATCATAATTAACACCCATACTTGCACGCACCCAAACGTAAAGATGAGAATGGCTCTTAAGTTAATGATTTGTTTTAGGTGGCACTGCTTTGTGATAGGCTGCTTGTCATCTCACTGTAACCTAGTCCTCAGACTTTGTTGTTGTGCACACCTTAATTACACCAGATCAGGGCCACCTTAACAACCCCCCCTCTGTAAAGATTCACCAGTGTGGAGAGCTGCTGTTTGCTCCTGGACTTGTTGCTGCATACTGACTATCTGTCACTCGTCCTGCTGCCGGTTTTATGATAGAGAAAATGTCCTGGGCATCATTGCTGCTGAGCCTGCCGCTCGTTGGAAGTTTTCACAGACTGAAAACCTTGTGCTGTTAGGGGGGAAGTTCTGGGTGCAGCGAGCAGCTCTGAAAGCAGTGGAAGGTTATCAGACATGCTAAACAGAGTGATGGCAACAGTAGGACATGTCTGTGATTCGGGGGCAGGTGTGGTTTTCTGTACAGTATGAAATGGGATTTCCCCTGGGGACACACGTGTATCTGTCACAGTCACAGTGAAAGCACGCATGTGACATGTTCCTCGGTCATGTTTGCTTTCCATGGTAGACGTTACACTTGTCTACCATGACCTAGTTTTTGTTGACTCCCCCCCCCCCCCCCGCACACACACACATTGGTCTTCTGTTGGTTGATTTGATTTAAGTGATATTCATTATTTAGCATCTCCACTCAACAGTGATTGGAAAGTTTTTAACCAGATGAGAAAATTCAACTGGATTAGGCGGTTTTGGAATACCACTGAATTGGGCTCTCTCTGATTTAAAGATGCTTTCCTGCTAGAGTCTGAGCCACACTGGTTGACGCTGACTACGTGAGGTGTACATTGAGTCAGTCAGCATAGTTTCTGATGCCTGTTGTTTGGTTTACCCAGCCACTGTGATTCCGAGACAGTGTCCTGGCTCTCGAGTTGGGCTTAGTCCTGTGGGAATCGCTGTTGCTTTCAGGGCTTGTCACTTTGCCACAAGGAATCTGCATGCATTTTCTTGAGAGCTAAGTCTTCTAATTCTGCACTTTTATCTGTGTTCTAGATGTGTTTGCAGATTGTTTAATATGATCTGGGGTGGCTTGTTCCTTTTTTTTTTTTTTTTGCCTTAATATGCAATTTAGTGTGGTAGTGTAGTTTATGTTTTAAGCTGTCGTTTTTCCCCTTCATTTCTTGAATGTCACATTTGTTGTGCCTTTGCTGTCAGTTCATGCAGACTAAGATTCCCAAGAGAAAGCAGTGATGTTAGTAGGTTTTTGTAGTGGAAATCAAAGAAAGCAGATGTCCATTTGATTTCTCTACCTCTTCCAAGAACGGCCCACACGTATCTTTTAAGACAGTTTCTTTAAAGATTGTTAAGTGCTTGGAACAGTTAGGGGCCATTATAAAGTCCCACGAGACTAAGTCCCGCTTGCCAGTTTATTCCCTCTGCAGCTTTCTCAAGTGGATCTTCACAGGGCGGCGAGGCCCTTCTCTTACTGTGACTTAGGGCTCTGGTGACCCGATACTCCTCACTCGGTGTGCATACTTTGCTCCACCCAGGGCTTCCCTGCTCCTTGCTGTCCTGCCTGTCAGCTGTAGCTCTCTCCTGTCCGTCAGTCTGTCCCTTTAGTACCGGGCACTCCTGTACAGGCAAGCTGGTGTTCTTTGGTTCACTGTTTTAATCTTACAAGTGGCTCTGGGATTTTGCACAATTAAAATGTCCTTTTGACTGACAAGCAGCAAATTTTCAGATATTTACTATAATTTAGATGGTAACAGCACCTCCATTCCTGTTTGGGGCATTCTCAACTGTCAGATGTAGTTTAATTGGTGATGGTGGTGTGTACTCTTCAGAGAGACAGATCCTTGCTGTTGTCTCTTTAGTCTTTTCAAGTTTCCTTGGTTGTTTTATTTGTCCAGGCTACCTTTTATCCAAGGAGATTGAGGGACAGATTATTTCTTGGAGTGTAATGTATGTGTTTCAGTAATTGCAGCCAGGAAATAGTGTGCTATCTCATGAATTCTTCTGTGGTAAGATCTGGTTTCATGTTTGTACGACTTCTTGAACAGAGACTCATATATGAGCCGCCTCAAACCTTTTAGTATATGTATATGGATATATACACACATACACCCTCAGAAAAACTAACAATGGGGTCACCTTAACAATGATGAATTTTTATATTGTTTAAATCTCAGATCTCAGTAAAAACATTCCTCATTTGCTTGTAGACATTTTTATCTCATCCAGTCAGTGTATTTAAAATGAAGTCTCTACCACAGTCCTAATTTGCTGAAAAGCATGGGAAATTCATTACCACCGTAAAGCCTTTCTATACCTCTTCCCTAACCTGCACACCCAGTGCTGAGTGTCAACTTTTGAATAACATGGTAGATTGTTCTTCATTTGTTTCTCTTCATGAGATGCTGCTTGAGACACCGGGGAGTACCACCACTAGGTCACGCTCCCTATACCTGACGCTCGCCTAAAAGAAGGTGGCCCAGGCCTGACTGTCTGGGTCAATAGAAATGATTTTCTAAGCTTCTTGGGGCCTCTGTACACTGACAGCTCAGTGTTCCTTGGCTTACTCCTGTGGGTCTTAGAGTAGACCCAGAGTTCACAGATGCTTTCATTCCCTGGGAAGAAGGGGTGGGAGGTAGGAGAGATGGGGACAGAGGTCATTAACTCTCTATGTGGGACAGCAAAATGTTTCCTTTCCTTTTTTTTTTTTTTTTTTTTTTTTTTCAAAAACCTTTCAAAAAAAAATCTCTGGTTCACTATTTTTGGATGGAGGATAAAAAATTGCTCCCATTTCTAAATTAAAATAATCATTGAGCAGTCAAATCTCCAACATCATAATTTAAGAACAAATGTAAAGCTTTAGAGTTACAGAAAACACACTGGTTACTCCACTTTGCAACCAGCTGTTAAAGTTTACAGAAATTGGTTAAATCAGAGAATAATTATATGTAGCAGTTAGGTAACAGGCATGAATTCTTAATTTAAAAGTTACCAATTTCAGGAAGATATCAGATTCAACCTCTGGCCTGAGAATTTACCAGTGTGTGTGCGCATAACATATCCAAGCCTATGTCTTGGCAAAATGCAGAGCTCAGATCGGGCACACATTCAGCCAGCTTTACCTCGGACTCCATTCACGCTTTTCTTGACCCAGTGTTTTAAGGCATAAATATTTGATTCTTCTTAATTGGCGTCAGCGATCTGTAAAACTCAACCCTTTGTAGTGGGCTAAACCAAGAGACCCCACGGGGACTGGAGCTGCAGCGTTGCAGGAAGCAGGCAGAAAAGCAGCAGAGTGCCCTTGCTCACTGGCTGCCCCAAGGCCGACGAAGCTTCCTGAGAGCAGTGTGACCACGTCTTTGCCGGTACCGTCAGTTGGCTGTCTTCATATATGAAACAAGAGTTTGGCAACAGCTGGCATGGAAGGTTTGCACGTTTTAAACCGATATAAAAAGATGCAAGAAACTGGAATATTCATTTAGTTCAGAAAATCTCAACATGTGGTAAGATGCTATGTAACTGGACAGAGCCAGAGACTCTTGGAAAGTCTTGTGGTTAAAGTCTAGTGCACTACCACTAAATGTTAACTACCCTTAAGGTATATCTGGGCTTCTGTTTAGCCAG